GTGAATATGTCCTGAAGGCTACAACTGATGACCGTGCCCATGGAGCGATCATGAAACCGACTCCTGCGTTAGAAAGCCGTTCTGTGTCGAGTTCCCCGGATAAGCAACTTAATAATCCATGGTCTTTTTCATCGTGTGCGCTATGAAATTGCGTCTCTGGGATACAGAGAATTCCAAGCCCATTGGAGTCCATCATCCGGAACAGCTCGGTAAGCTTGATCCTAGAGTCACCTCGGAGCCCTTCAACATTCCAGGAACCCAGTTGCTCCGAGCCCAGCGGAGCACAAGAGCGGCGAGGTTGAAACCATAGTGCTGTCTGCTTCTTGGAAACTTTCTGTCCCCCGGCCTGATGCTGGGTTCGCTGACCAACACAAGTATGGAAAGAATGCGAGCCTGTCCTGGCCGACTATGCCTCGATGTCGGGGTCCTGGTTGACGTTGGTCAGCCCGTCGGTGGGGACGGCGCCAGAGTGAAGGTTGAGAACCGCCGGGCCGATAAGTGAAACATGGTCGCGATGGGTCCGCCCTTCGGGAACGGATCCCGCGCATGAAGATGGTGGGGATGTATATGATGAAGGCGTGCATGTGTTGATGGACGTAGTGGCAATTTTGTCCAGAATACGTCCAGCACAAAAGAGAGTATCATACGTTGGACGGCTCGCGGTAACGGTAGCTTTGCCCATTGCCGATCCAGATCCCAGAGGAGAAGAAAACATATGATGATGAATTTGATGAGGTAAATGTGTCTTCCCATGGAGAGGCGGGTATGCTCATTGAGGTGGTTGCGGCGGGTTGGTATCTTTGCCCATTCCTGCCAGACATGTCGCCGGTATCATTGGAGAATCGGCTTCGGTGCCTGTTCTGGCCTCGTGCGGCACTTGCCGTGTTTCTCAGAATGTTCCTGTTCCTTTGGACTGCCTTTTGGGGCCTCCTTTCATCCTTGTCGAAGCTCTGCTAACCAGATTGTCACATTTGGCCGTGAGCTCTTTGAGCTTCTCGTGCTGCTGAAGCTCGTCCCACTGGCCCCATGTATTGGCCCACTCCCGCTTCAGAGAAGTATCCGTTGTCGTCACTGTCAGGGCTAATTGTCCGCCCACGTGGACCTGGAATGGCGTCTCGTCGTTGACTTTGATGACCCACTGCAAGTTCATATGCTCTTTTAGCATGTGCTTGAGCCCGAAACAACAGTTTCGGGCTGCGCGGTCGGTTGGACGTCGGTCCGGGATGCCCAAACAGTCTTCCCGTTACGCTGTAGATTTCTACTTTGGATGAGGGCAACGGCCGTGTCGCGGTCCAGCGTGTCGCCGAATTCGGCGTACAAGATGTGGTCCGTGTCACCCTTAATGTACAGGTTCTGTGGGGTCGGGCCTGAAAGAGACGCGAGTTGGTCCGTCAGCGACGCCGCGGCGGTTTTGAACATGTCAAAGCCGTCGAGGTTGCCAAAACATGCGGTGATCGACCTCTTGTTCTTCATGTCGGCGGAAGCATGTGGAGCTCCGTGGCGTTTGAGTAGTTGGACTTCTCGTTCCAAATCGTGGAGCTTCGTCTGCATCATAGTGTCGACGCTTGCTTCTGACTCCGTCCTCGCTGAAGTCGGACCTGGTGTAGGCGCCCGCGAATCCCGAGCCTCCAACGACTCCCAGCGCGAGATGATGTCCTCGATGGCGGAATTGATCGGCTTAATGGAGTTCTCGAGGTCCGCTTGAGACACTCCATGTAATTTTATGGCGTGTATGTCGTCCCTTATCGGATTCGACTGCTCGTCGAGAATCTGCCGGAAAGCGCCGGCATGAAGTGGTTGATCACCGGCTTCGTGCGAACGTGTTTGAGGCTGGAGTTGTAGTGCTTGCACGTGTGCGGCATCGTCCAACCCATCCATTTCTCGGGGGAGCGTAAGACCCGGGTTTGCCAGGACTCGGGTTCGCCATCGTTTTTTGACGACCGCGACTCGGATTCTGACGAGTCGGAGTTTCGTGGGATGTCTGCAGCGGGAGGCCTCGTCAAAATGCAGGCTCGGCCTCGTCATTTTTTTGACGACCTCGTCGGGGATTTCCGAGTCCCCTGCACCCGGGTCTTACGCCCCCCTGAATCCATTTCGTGTAGCGGGCTGTGTATGCGGTGCTGCTTCGCTCTCCCAGCGGACGCCCGCGGCGATGGTGGCGAAGCAGGTGGAAGGCCGGTCGTCCTGCCGATCCTTATGAGCAGTTGCCTCACGGGGGGGGGTGCCTGACCTGCGCGAGTTGCTGCCCGCACCCGAAGGAGGCATCGATACAGGCACGAGCGCGCGAGCAGGTTAGATGAACGGACTTGTCGAGGAACTGTCGAGGATGTGGAAGGGGCCAAGAATTCTCGAGCCAAATGTCAGCTTGAGCCAGAATTGCTACGGAGGAGGAGGAGGAGGAAACGGAGGAGGGAGAGGAGGAGGAGGAGGAGGAGGAGGAGGAGGAGGAGGAGGAGGAGGAAGAGGAGGAGGAGGAGGAGGAGGGTGAAACGGGTGACGGGAAGGAGGATAAGGAGGATGAGGATAAGGAGGATGAGGAAGAGGCGGAGAGGAGAATTGGAGATGCCCCCCGTCACGCGTGAGTGCTCGCTTCTCCATCCTCCGCCCTTGCCTCAGATTCCCCTCCACCCTCTCATGATCGAAAGAAGACGTAGACGTGCCTGAATCGGAGTCCTCATGGACGCTTCTTAGGGTCTCTCGAGGGCTCTTGGGGGCCTCTGCGGGGGAGTTTAGGGGCCTCTTGGGGGCCTCCTGAGGGCTTCTTGGGAGCCTCTTGGGGCCCTGTGGAGGGCTCTTGGGGGCCTCTTGGGGCCTCTTGGGAGCCTCCTGGGGGCCTCTTAGGTCCTCCGCGTCAGCTTCGAGAGTACGCATGGCACGGACGTCCCCAGCACGGGGGGGCCGTCCTCGCGGACCGAGGGGCGCCTATGCGTGTACGTGGCTGGCCGCGCACGTCCCCTGTGGGCTCCCTCTCGGCACCGCCGGATCCCCGGGTTGCGCCCGCTCCCGGCCGCGCGAGGCCCCGCCTTCTTTCGGGGGCGGAAAAGAGGGGGGTGATGACTAGGGGGGGGTGGATCTCATGGCGTGGGCCATGATATCTCCCCAGATTTCATGGCGCCCCTTCTCACTTCATTACGTTCCTGGTCCCCCCGCTGGGCCGCGCACATGCCGCCGGTCATGATTTGCACCCCCCCCTCTTGGACACCCCCCTCTTGGCCGCGTGAGGCCCCGCCTCCTTCGGCCCTTTCTCGTTGCCAATTCAAGCCGTGCGCGTCCCGCTCAGGTTTCAGCGGAAGAGGTTCGCTCTCGCCCTGCAGATCAAGAAAAATGGGCTCCTCATCCTCGCCCTCCTCCACGGCCCCAGCTGCCGTATCCGAGCGAGCGGCACCCGCCGGGCAGTTGCGAGCGAGCATCGCGCCTTCGCAGGCGCCCTGGCCCTCCAGGCCCCTCTCGCCCCCCTCGCTTCTCCACGTCGCCCCCACTCCGCCTCCCCCCCCCTCTCACCAAGCGCGTTCCACTGCTGGCATTAAGTCGGGCCTGTCCCCCTGCAGGGGGGATGTTCGACGAAAAATAAAACATACCCCCAAAATAGTCAAAAAGTAGTCAAAGCATAGTCTGGGGACTATTTTTTGAGTATTGTTTGACCTTTTTGGGGTACGCGTGGGGTATTTTTTATTTTTCGTCGAGAATCCCCCTGTAGGGGGACACGCCCGACATAATACTAGCAACGTCATACACATGTCTTTCTCTATGTCACGGATCGTACATCCCTGGCGGCGGATCCAAGCCGTTTGCGAGTAGTGGAGCGCGCTTGCCTACCCTTCCAGGCCCCCCCCGCGCGAGCGCACCGTGTCGGCGACACCACAACATACTTATACTGTATGTGCGTCGCCCCCCCAGAGGCAACGCGCGCACCGAGAAATCTTATAGTATATGTGTCGCGCCGGGCGCTTTCTGGCCACACCGCTCGGGAAAGATATACTACAGGATGGGCATACTATATGTTCGGTTCCGACGCGCGCCTCCAAGGGGGACATATTCTCTCTGCGTCCCAGATCCAAGCCGTTTGCGAATAGTCTCTTTGCGAATAGAGGAGCGCGCTTGCCTACCCTTCCAGACCCCCCCCCCGCGCGAGCGCACCGTGTCGGCGACACCCCAACATACTTATACTATATGTGTGTCGCCCCCAGAGGCGACGCGCGCACCGAGAAGACTTGTAGTATATGTGTCGCGCCGGGCGCTTTCTGGCCACACCGCTCGGGAAAGGATATACTACAGGATGGGCATACTATATGTTCGGGTCGGACGCGCGCCTCCAAGGGGGACATATAGTATTAGTATGTCTCTGTGCGTCCCAGATCCGAGCCGTTTGCGAGTAGTCTCTTTGCGAATAGAGGAGCGCGCTTGCCTACCCTTCAGACCCCCCCCCCCGCGCGAGCGCACCGTGTCGGCGACACACCAACATACTTACACTATATGTGTGTCGCCCCCAGAGGCGACGCGCGCACCGAGAAGGCTTGTAGTATATGTGTCGCGCCGGGCGCTTTCTGGCCACACCGCTCGGGAAAGGATATACTACAGGATGGGCATACTATATGTTCGGGTCGGACGCGCGCCTCCAAGGGGGACATATAGTATTAGTATGTCTCTGTGCGTCCCAGATCCGAGCCGTTTGCGAGTAGTCTCTTTGCGAATCGTGCAGCGCGCTTGCCTACCCTTCCAGACCCCTCCTGATGGGTTCGTTTTCCACCACCACCACCACCTCAAGTTGGAGGGGGAAGGAAGTGGGGGACGAAGAGGAGGAGGAGGACGAAAAGGAGGAGGAGGAGGAGGAGGAGGGACGAGGACGAAAAGGAGGAGGACGAAAAGGAGGAGGACGAAAGGAGGAGAGAAGGAGAGAGAGGAGGAGGAGGAGGAGGAGGAGGAGGGAGGAGGAGGAGGAGGAGGAGGAGGAGGAGGAGGACCCCCTCCCGCGCGAGCGCATCGTGCCCGGGCCTCGCCAGGCCGAGGGGCCGCACCCCCGGCGCTGGCCGCGCCCGGACGCATGGCGCTGGCTCCAAGAGTGGGCGGCCCAGGAGGCCCGGCCCGGCCGCCCGCGCCGCCCCAGGAGGAGAGGAGAAAGGAGGAGGAGGAGATGATGAGGGAGAGAGGAGGAGGAGGAGGGAGGAGATGGGGAGGGAGGAGGGAGGAGGGAGGACGAGGATGAGGATGGAGGAGGAGGAGGAGGAGGAGGATGAGACAGGAGGAGGAGGAGGAGGAGGAGAGGATGGAGGAGAGGAGAGAGGAGGGAGAGGAGAGGAGGAGGAGGAGGAGGAGGAAGGAGGAAGGAGAGATGGGAGGAGGAGAGGGAGGGAGGGAGAGAGGAGGAGAAGGAGGAGGGGGAGGGAGGGAGGGAGGAGGGAGGAGGGGAGAGGAGGGAGGAAGGAGGAGGGAGAGGGAGAGGAGGAAGGGAGGGGGAGGAGGGAGAGGAGGAGGGAGAGGGAGGGGGAAGGGGAGGGGATGGGAGAGGGAGAGAGGAGGGGAGGGGAGGAGGAGGGAGGAGGGAGGAGGGGGAGAGAGGGGGGAGGAGAGTAGGAGGAGGAGGAGAGGAGGAGAGGGAGGAGGAAGAGGAGGAGGAGGAGGAGGAGGAGGAGGAGGAGGAGGGAGGAGGGAGAGGAGAGAGGCCAGGAGGAGAGGAGGAGGAGGAGGGAGAGGAGGAGAAGGAGGAGGAGGAGGAGGAGGAGAGGGAGGAGGAGAGGAGAGAGGGGGGGGAGGAGGAGGAGGGAGAGGAGAGGAGGAGGAGGGAGGAGGAGAGTGGAGGAGGAGGAGGAGGGAGGGAGAGGAGAGGAGAAGGAGGAGGGAGGGAGGGAGGAGGAGGGAGGAGGGAAGGAGGAGGAGGGACGCGGGGAGGGAGGAGGCCGAGGACGAGGGACGGAGGAGAGGGAGAGGGAGGAGGGAGTAGGGGGGAGGGAGGAGGGAGGAGGGAGGGGGAGAGAGGAGGAGGGAGGAGGAGAGAGAAGAGAGGAGGAGAGGAAGGAGAGAGGAGGAGAGAGATGAGAGAGGAGAGGAGAGGGGGAGGGGGAGGGAGGAGGGGGGGGGAGGGGGAGGGAGAAGGAGCGCAGAGGGGGGAGGAGGAGGAGGAGGAGGAGGAGGAGGAGGAGGAGGAAAAGGAGGAGGAAGACCAGGAGGAAGAGGTGGAGGAGGAGGAGGAGTACACGATGGAGCCGGCCTCCCGCCCCTCTCTAATCTGGACGCCCGAAATGGGTACTGAAAGAATGGGTACTATGCCCAACAGCGGATCTTGTTCATTTTGAACAAGATCCGCTGTCCACGCCGCCGCGGCTTGTGTCCATTCGAGACAGGAGGCCGCCCGCCCAACAGCGGCCGCTGTTGGTTTGGGACAACACTTGTTGTTGGGCATTTGACCCATTCTTTCGGTACCCATTTCGGGCGTCCAAATCTAAGATTAAGGCGGGCCTGTCCCTCTACAGGAAGAATATTCAAACATAGTTTTAGAAATAGTCAGGGCACGATTATTCGTTTTGGTTTGTGTGTATATGTATATATAGTTTGAGTGTTTTTTCGTCGCAAATCTGCCTGTAGGGGGACATGCCCGACCGAACCCTAAGAACCAAAACGCACCATAAACCAGCCTTTGGCGCTCCGCGCGGGTTCTTGGGATCCGCGCCTGGGCCCCCTCCCCAGCGGCGCCTCCGGCGCCACCCCCAGCGCCCTCCGCGCGCCAGGGGGGGTGGGGTCAGCAGCGCAGATCCAAGAAATCCGCGCGGAGCGCCAAGAGTTTATGTTGTTGGCGTTGTATCTTCTTTGCTTTCGGCGCCCCCCCCCTCCTCTCCTCCGGAGGCTTCGGTGCGCTCTGACAGCCAGGATTTGCCACGTCTGGCCCTGGAGCGAGCCGATGCTAGATTGCATGTCGGAGCTCCGTAAACAGGAACCAAGTGGTTGTTACGACATGTGTTTCATGCGCCTGGCTGTATTGGAGCCTCTTTGGGCAGTCTTAGTGCCATTTGGGCGTTTCTCGGGTTTCTGTGAGGTCTGTTCAGCTGTCTTGGGCGCGTCCTGGAGCTGTGGACATTGTTGCGGGTGTAGTGGACGCGCCAGAGGCCTCATTTGGATGCGCCTGTTGTGCGCACCATTCATCATCAGCAGCACGGCATGCCATCATCATTCTTTTTGTCACGATCTTTGCCCTCATCATCTTCATGTCTCGGTCGCCCCCATCATCATCGTTATGCTCACCCTCCTCGTCTTCCTCCTCTCTCTAGTCCTCCACCCCTCCACCCCGTCCCCAGGCTAGCCGCAACCCGGGGGAGATGTGGCTCATCTCCCCGTTGGGGGAACCCATCTGCTTCGACGCCCCACATCGAGATATTGCCAATACGAAGAGGGTGTGTCAGGAGCACGGATCCCCCAGCTTATGAGTGGCCGCCTCCCCCCCGCCTCGTTGCCCCCTCCCCTCTCCCCACCCCTTCGCCTTCGGGCTTCGAGGGCTTCTGGGCCAGAGCTGCGTCGATGCAGATTCGACCCCTCCCGCGGCCCCTTGGCATCGCTCGGACGTGTGTGTTTTGTTCGGCGGGGGCCAGCGAGGAGCATCCTGGATCAATGCAACGGGGACTGGACGTCCGAGCGATGGCAAGGGCCTGGAGGCAGAGCGAGTTTGGCCGCGGAGCCCGGGAGCCACCCGTCTCCCACGACATCGAGGGCTTCTTGGCCGTTCGGCTGGTACTGCGCGCTCCCTCCAGGCGTTCCGTTCCGCTTCCCCCGGGCGCCCCACACGAGCGTTGGCCATCCGCCGCCTGCCGCGCGCCCGACCCCCCCCTCTCCTCTCAAGTCGGGCCTGTCCCTCTACAGGGGGAAGATTCAAACATAGGCTTCAACATGGTATAGGGGACGATTTGTGTGGTGATTCCCGAATATGTTTGGGGGTACTGTTGGGGTGTCATTGTTCGTCCAGAGTCCGCCTGTCGGGGGGCAGGCCCGACCCAATCCTCGCCCCCGCGGGCTGCCCCGCGGCGAGCCATGTGCGCAGCGCAGCGCCGCGCCCGCCCCCTGGCGCGCTGCCTCGCTTGCGCGGCAGCGGCGCTGGGGGCCCTGTGCTTGGCGCCGCACAGGCCTGGCTGGCTCGAGGAGGAGGAGGAGGCGGAGGAGGGGGAGGAGGAGGAGGAGGCGGAGGAGGAGGAGGAGGAGGAGGAGGAGGAGGAGGAGGAGGAGGAGGCGTAGGAGGCGGAGGAGGAGGAGGAGGAGGAGGAGGGGAGGCAGGAGGAGGAGGGGAGAGAGGAGGAGGGGAGGAGAGGAGGGAGGAGGAGAGGAGGAGGAGGAGGAGGAGGCGGAGGAGGAGGACGAGGAGGAGGAGGCGGAGAGGAGGAGGACGGAGGAGGAGGAGGAAGAGGAGGAGGAGGAGGGAGGAGGAAGCGACGGAGGAGAAGGATGATGATGAGGAGGAGGAGGAGGAGGAGGAAAGGGACGAGGAGAGGAGGAGGAGGGAGGAGGAGGAGGAGGAGGAGGAGGAGGAGGAAAGGGAAGAGGAGGAGATGGATGATGATGATGAGGAGGAGGAGGAGAAGGAGGAGGAGGAGGCGGAGTAGGAGGAGGCGGAGGAGGAGGAGGCGGAAGAGGAGGAGGCGCCGGATAAGGAGGAGGAGAGGTAGGGGAGAGGGAGGGGGAGGAGGAGGTGGAGGAGGAGGAGGTGGCGGAGAGGAGGAGGAGGAGGAGCAGCAGGCGGAGGAGGAGGAGGAGGAAGGGAGGAGGAGGGGGGAGGCGGAGGAGGCGGAGGAGGAGGAGGAGGAGGAGGAGGAGGGGAGGGGAGGAGGGGAGGAGGAGGAGGAGGGGGGGGGAGGAGGGGGGGAGGGGGAGGAGGGGGGAGAGGGAGGAGGAGAGGAGGGGAGGAGGAGGAGGAGGAGGAGGAGGAAGAGGAGGAGTAGGCGGAGGAGGAGGATGATCGAGGAGGATGAGGAGGAGCGGGATGCTCGAGGAGGAGCAGGATTTTTGATGAGAACCAGGAGGAGGAGGAGGAGGAGGAGGAGGAGGCGGAGCAGGAGGAGGAGGAGGGTGAGAAGGAGGAGGAGGAGGAGGAGGCGGAGGAGGAGGAGGAGGAGTAAGCTTGCCTAAGAGAAAGGGGGAGGCGGCAGAGGGACTGGGGCTCGCCCAGAGTGGCCGCTCTGGCGAGCGGGAGGGAGACCCGGATAGGATGCTGGAAGGGCGCCTCGTTGCCTTGAGACCTTCGGAGGTCTCCCCTGCTCTGGCGTGCGCATGTCTCCTCGGCGAGGGCCATCGGGGAACATCCTGGGTCATCGAGCCAAACAACACGCACGAAACCGAAAACTGCACGGGGAATGGACGCCCGAGCGACGGCAAGCACCAGGCGTGGCATTGCCCCGCGCCCCAGCGCGGGGGCACTGCGGTGCCAGGAGGACCCCCCCCCCCACACCAGGGGTGGTCACGCCCATTTCGATCCAGCCGATTCCACTCGGTATCGGCTCTAGACTCTAGGCGGCTCGAGCGCCTCTTGTTTTGAGAACCTTCGGAGGTCTCGCAGTTGAGGGCACACTTCGATCCAGCCGGTCCGATTCAGTGTCGGCTCCTGCCGGCTCGACTTGATTCGATTTCCGACGTCCCGACATTCCGATGCGGTTGGACGCGCTGTTGTACATCTTGGTGCGGCCGATCCGATTCGGCTGCGATGCGGCGGCGATGCGGCCCGATACGACGTACGGACCGATTCGACCCGGCTCCCGATGCGATGCTGAAGGATCCTGGGTTGCTCGAAGCGTTTCGGGCCACAGGTGTCCCCCGCTTTTCGTACTATGTTGGAGGCTCCGAGGCCTTCCGGAACCAGGCCTCGTGCGGGCTGCTTTGGAGGCCTCGGGGGTCTCCTGGGAAATCTTGGTTGGGGAGACCTTGGGCCAGGGCCGCCAGGGCTACCTTCGGCAACAGGGTACGCACCCAAGCCTGCCAGACAGCCGAGAAAATGAGTGTGGCAGCGGCAGGGCGCGCGACTGACCTCTCGTGCCTTCCCCTCGTTGGCTTCCAGCCCCGGCCCGAGGGGGAGACGCGAGAGCCAGCCAGCGCTCCCCACCAACCAGGCCTACGGTTGAGTCGGGCACGCCCCTCTACAGGAGGAGCACTCAAAAATAGTTGTTTAAACAGTCTGGGGACGATTTTGCGATTTGTTTATAAAAAAGTAATAGTGGGAAACATGGTTGGAGTATTTGTTTTACCTATTTTCCAGGTTTCCTCCAGAATCCGCCCGTAGGGGGGCATGCCAGACCTGAGCCTACGATCCGAGCCGATGCGATCCGCTCCGCCGGCCGGGGCCCCGACTCCGACGCGGTTCGGCCTGCTTCGCCAGCATCGGCCTGGTCGGGAGCGGAAAAGAGGGGGGTGATGACTAGGGGGGGGTGGATTTCATGGCGCGGGCCATGATTTTTCCTCAGATTTCGTGGCGCCTCTTCTTATTTCATCACGTCCCTGACCCCCCCGCTGGGCCGCGCACATGCCGACGGTCATGATTTGCACCCCCCCCTTCTTGGACACCCCCCTCTTGGCCGCTCCCGACCTGGGCCAGCCGAAGCCAGGCGCGGCGACCCCATCGACCTTCGACTCGGGACGACTCGTTGGCGCTCCGCTGCCGCTCCGGCCCGAGGCGACGTCGCGATTCGATGCGCAGGCCTGCCAGCGCCGCTCGTCTGCAGCGGGCCAGCCGCGGATCGGGGCTCGACGACGGGCGCCCATAGGCGAGGATGCAGCCTTTTGGGCGGTGAAGTTCTGAGGCGGCGCTGGGGTATCCCTGGTCGAAAACTGGCCTCCCAACCTGGCTGAATTCCGCTCGAGCCGGCTTCATCCCGCTTGGTCCGGCCATCCTGGGCTCAATGCGGCCTGTTCCAGATCAATGGCCCTTTTATCGGGCTGAATAGCCTTCATTGGGTCTGGCGACGGCATCCTAGGAGTTGCCTCTTAAGGCTACCTCCCCCTTCTTCGATGCGCAACGACGTGACGATGACAATCACGATGTACACAATATCAGTGGTTTTCTGCTACTGCGACCAGCTCATGCCAGAGTGCCAGACTGCCAGGAGTTGCCTCCCAATCATTTCGCCCCTCCTTCGATGATAGGCAATCTCGCTTTCCAACCTCTGCTGACTACTATGTGCTGTTGGGTTTGACAGGCCCCGACGGAACTACCAGTGAGCCCTCGGGTCAAGGGGGCCCAGGCCGTTATAAACGCCATCTGCTCCAAAGCTGCTGCGGCGCAATTGCAACAGACGGACTGCGGGTCCACAGTGCTACACGAGCAGTGGATACCACCCCCCCGGCCGAGGTGACCTTGATTTAATCCCCTCGCTCATTCCTCCGGCCCCTTTTCGCACCACGGTGACTGCATGGTGGTGTTTTCGTACCGATGGGGAACGGCGGGGCAGGCAGGACTATCTCGAGGAGATCTCCGGAGATGTGGCTCGCACCCTGCCGAAGAGAGTCGACAGATTGCGCCAGAGGGCGCCAGATAGCTCAAGAGAGCTCCATCAGAGTTTCGAGTCGCACCTGGGTTGTGGGTCGGAGTCCACCAGGATGGATCCCAAATAGATATTAACCTGGGTTTATAACGTTCCGGGATTATTGACCCGGGTTCATAATGTCTCCCCCGGAACATTATGAACCTGGGTTTTCATGTTCCAGAAATATTGATTGGGGTTCATAATGTTCCCCCCCGGGAAATTATAAAGTTTGGTTTATAATGTTCTGGGCCTACCGACCCCAAAAAGATGTTAACCTGGGTTGGTAATGTTCTGGGAATAATGACCCGGGTTCATAATGTCCCGGGAATAATGAGCCAGGTTTTGGTAATTCCGGAATGATAGTAGTTTGTTTAGTTTCCCCCCAACCTTCGGGTGCCGTACCAGGTTTTCATGTTGGAATATTGACCCCGGTTCATTATCTGCAGGAGATAATAAACCTGGGTTCATATTGTTTCCGGAATATTGACCCCGGGTTAATTATTCTGGAATGATAATGATTCAGCCGGGGCGGTGTTGGAGAGTAGTGATCGGATTGAAATAAAACGTGGTCCATAATGTTGGAATAATAATATTCGGTTGCTTATTCCAGAAAGATAGTGATTCAGCCGGGGGGAGGGCTCAGCTTGATCCATCCACAGGACAATAAACCACAGGGTATCATCTGAAGATAATGAACCTAGGCTTATCATTCCTTCATAATGAACCACGGTCGACGAGGATTTCGCACCTACCCTCGAGTCCTCATAGATGTTTCTTGGGGTCTCTTCGGAGGGCTCTCGGGAGCCTCTGGGGAGCAGTTCTGATGCTTCAGGGGAGCTTCTCGGGGACTCCTTGGGGGCCTCTTGGGGTTTCCCTGGTCTTGTTGGGGCTTCCTGGAGGCCTGTTGGGGGTTTGGGGAGCTTCTTTTTGAGTCTCTTGGGGCCTTTGGGGGCTCTTGGGGGCCTCTGGGAGCTTCCTGGGAACCTCTTGGGGCCGAGAGCTCGAACCGTCTGTTCGGGTTTCCCCTCTGGGCCCCTTCTTGGGGCCATGTTGGGGCCGTCTTGGACCAATAGGGGGCTGGCCTCCCTCTTTTGGAGGCTTTTTGTACCGTTCTGAAGCGATTTTGGGGCCTCTTGAGCCGTCCAGGGCGGTCGGCAGCTAAAAAAGGCGGTTCCGCCAGAATCGTCCGAAAACCCATGCAAAATCATTTGTTTTTGCGTTTTCGGGGTCCTCTCGAAGGAACCCTCCTTCCTGGAGCGTCTTGGGTGCTTCTTGGGCCGTCTGAGGACCAACGTGGGCTATCTTGAAACGCTCTGGGCCTCAGGCCGTGGGGCGTGCCACCCTTTTGGCGCCTCATTGGGGCGCTCGGGGGAGGTCCGAGGCCGCGCGGGAGTTCCGGCAGCTCGGACCCGACCGTCCTGGGACCTTGCCGGGGTACTTGTCGTCCTCGGACCCCTGTAGGGGCCGCCACGCGCCCGCGGAAGCGGCGAGCTAGAAACAACCTATAGATGCTCACCGGAGGTTTCAACTAGCCGGTGGCCCGTTGGGCTGGCAAGTTTCGGGGAGCAAGCGATGACATGAACAGAAGTCGGGGGTCCCCAAACGGGGTGGTGACCACACCGTGCGGTGAGTCGATGGGGATTCGGGGTCACCGCACGGTCTTGGGACTCGGGTCCTTCTCCGAGGACGCACCGTTTCGGCACTCCCGAATAAGGTTTTGGAGGCCTGATCTAATTTTTTTAAAAATTAGATCTAATTTCAATGTCATTAGATATTAGACCCAGCTGGCATAGTATTAGATCCTCAGAGATTGTCATGGTATTTGTTAAATCATTGAATTCACGGTGCTGGACCCCCCGTCATTGGCACGCACGGGGCGCGCCAGGGGCGGCAGCGGAGGCGGCGCCGGGGGGCTCCTCGGCCGATCCAGGCAGTCCGCGCGGACCTACGAGGGATTATGTCGATGGCATTGCTTACGAGAGGGCGTACATCGAGAGGACGCGCATCGTGTAGGAGAGTGCGAGAGGACGCTCGTCGTAGTGTGCGAGATAACGATGTACGTATCATGTGATTCGAGAGGACGTAGATCATGTACACAAGTCCACGCTGGTTTCGAGAGTACGCATTACCCGAATCTTCGTATCACGCGGCCAGCCTCGCGGATCGAGGGGCCGTATTCATGTACATAGCCGGGCGCGTACGTTCTGTGTGGGCTCCCTGCGATTGAATTCCCGAATGTTCGCTCTGACGAAGGCCTTTCACGAGCTGCCTCCTGAGGATACCTCCTCCCTCCGCCTCTGGCCGAGGTGGCCCTCGGTGGCGTGGGCGGCCCCCGGGCGCTGATGCTGAGCTACTCTGTCAATGCCTCGCTTTGCTGTGTTCTTGCTCGCTGGAGCATTTGACACGTACACCTTAGGCGATGCTTAGGAAAACTTAAGTTTTCGGCCAGAGTCTCGATTATTCTTAACGTTTCAATGTAAATCTTAAGATTGTAATAATTCAAGTTCTGAGACTATGAATTTCTTGACCCATGATTTCTTAAGCATTTCGCAGGGTGTATGCGGACCTACACTGCCAATGCCACGCTTCCTGGTGTGGTCTGAACGCACACCCCTTCAGGCGGAGAGCTTGCGAGATACATCCAAACAAAAAGCCCCCTAAGTTCTAAGGAGACAGTCGGAGCTGATAGTGAGGATGAGCGACGTTCCAAGGTTACCCTTGCATCTTTGCCACTCCGGTCATCTTCGGCCCATCCTCGTCCACTTTCGAGGACCAGCCCCGCTCGAAAAGCCCCGGCGTGGGCGTCCAAGGCCCTTGCTTCCTTTCCGTGCATCCTTATCACAGTCAACCCGCATAATATGGATGTTCGACTTCCCAAAGGTACCCTTGCATCCTTCCCCCTTCGATCATCTTCGGCCAATCCTCGACCACTTTCGAGGGCCAGTCCCGCTCGAAAAGCCCCAGCATGGGCGTGCAGGGCCCTTGCATCCTTTCCGTGCATCCTTGCTATAGGTCTTTAGTCTTGATCCCCCCCTTTCTCACTCGGCGGTAAACAGGACTGGTCCTAAAACCTCGTGCTCCTCCTCCCGCGGTTCCCCCTACTCCTCCTCCTCCTCCTCCTCCTCCTGCATCTCCTCCTCCTGATGCACAAGTACCAGCAGTCGTCGTAGTCGTAGTCGCAAACCTAGGCGTAACTGTCGTCGTCGTTGCTGCGCGACGGGTGCCGCGGGAAAACGGAATCAGATCCCCCTATTGGTGGGACCCCAGTCTTTCAGCAAGGCCGCCGAAAAAGAACAGACTTAGTTACCCCCTAGAGTCAACCCGCACAGTAAGGATGAGCAACCTTCTCAAGGGTACCCTCGCATCCTCGCCTCCTCGGTCCATCCTGAGCCACTCGAAATTGGCGTCGAAGGCCCTTGCATCCTCATCGCGCATCCTCCTGATACAGGCCGACTGCATGGGGGGGGTTCTCAAGACTTCTCAGGGGTCCTTAAGACTTCTGAGGGGCTCCCGAAGGAAACGAATAATGACATAAACATGAAAACTCGGAGGTCCGCGCGGACTTCTCGGATCGGCGCTGGACCCCCCTCCCTGGCGCGCGGAGCGCGCCAGAGGCGGCGCCGACACCGGGCCTGTCCCTCTACAGGGGGGAAGTTCAAAGATCATAAAGAAATAGCCTGGGGACGATGGTTTGACTATTTTTTCACAAATCTGGAGCATGTTTTGACTATTGTTTGTTTTCTTCTTCCCAAATCCGCCTGTAGGGGGACATGCTCGACATAACCCTACAGTCAAAAACCCTAATAAGGACGCGCGACTATGATCAGGGTACCCTTACGTCCTTGCTTTTCCTTGCTCTTGCGGCTCCTCCTTGGCCTCTTCCGCTGGCCCGCTTGTCAGGGGCCCCCTTGGGGCGGGCGGCCCAAAAATCCCAACTTCGGCTTCCACGGGTCTTGCGTCCTTACCGCGCGGCCTTAGTACGGTAGGTTCGCGTCGTGTCGACCGTCGGCGACCCCGCCGCCGACGTTCAAGGTTGAACGCCGCTGGCGACCCAGAATCGATCGATGTTGAACGATCGGACGTTGCGGCAGCGGCCGATCGTTCAAGGTTGAACGATCCAGCGCGGTGTCAGCAACCAACGCCAGGGTCGGCACGACACGGACCTGCCGTAGGGTTTTTGACCCTAGGTGGAGGAGGAGGAGGAGGAGGAGGAGGAGGAGGAGGAGGAGGAAGAGGAGGGAGAGGGAGGAGGAGGATCAGGAGGAGGAGCAGGAGGAGCAGGAGCAGGAGGAGCCCCCCACCCCCGCCGGCCGAGGTGGCACTCGGTGGCCTGGGCGCCCTCGGGCGCCCCGGGCCACGCCGGGGCCCGGCGCGGCGCCGCCGCGGCGGCCCAGGCGCGCCCCGGGCGTCGCTCGTCGCCCAGATGGTCTGGTACCGGAAATTTTCGGTAGCGATTTCGACGCACCCCGAATTTCGGTAGCGACCGGATCTTCGTTTGAGGGCGTTGAAATAGCGGATTTCAGAACGCTCTGATACCGGTATTGGGCGCTACATTTCGGTATTTCGGTAGCGACCGATCTCTGCGGAGCGCTACCGGAAATTTTCGGTAGCGGACCATCAGGGCGGCCGTCGGGCGCCGGTCGTGCTCGTGGTCGTGGTCGAACTCCCTGCCTTGCCAGACCCCCTCGAGTTATGAAAAAATCACGACGCGGGTTTTTTATGATTTTCGGCCTCTGGGGGCCCTTACCGGCCCTCGGGGCCGTCAAAAAACGACTCAGGAGGAAAAACCGGTCCAGGGGAATGGGTCTGGACCTCTGGGGGTCGACGTCATGAAAAATTCATGACGTCGGGGGTCTGGGATGCCGAAGAGCAACGACAGTCAAGCAGAGGCGAAGCGTCCCGGCTCGCCTACAGCCCCACCAAACCATGTGCTAAGAACCTATTTTTTGAGGTTTCCACGAAACGTTCTTAGTTTTTTTCTGGCGGAGTCTGTGTTGTTTTAACACATGGTGGTCGTGGTCGAGCTCCCTGCCCTGCCGAGGAGCAACGATAGGCGGGGATAGTAGGGGAAGAACAAGTGGCAGGAACATAAAAACTCGGAGGTCCGCGCGGATTTCTCGGATCGGCGCTGGGGCCCCCCGGCGGCGCCTCCGGCGCCGCCCCTGGCGCGCTCCGCGCGCCAGTGAGGGGGGGTCCAGCGCCGATCCGAGAAATCCGCGCGGACCTCCGAGTTTTTACGTTTATGCCACTTTTTGTTCCCCTAGATAGGCATAGGGGGGGATGCATCGACCCCCAACCGCCCACGGATCGCCGATACGGGCCCGATAACCCAAGTCTGCCCAAGGGCGCGGATCCACGATCGCAGGCCCATCGCCGATCGGTGATGTATCGCCGATTCCAGGTCGATGCATCCCCCCTTATGCCAGTCCCCCCCTATCGTTGCCCCTCAAAAAAAGGTGCCCATGCCCCTACCCCTTCCTCGTTTTCTTGTTTTTGGGCCTCTTCGGAGGCCCTCGTCGCCACCGCTGGGTTCGCCTCGAAATTTTGGCCAGAAGGCACCTCAGGAGAGATGTCCGGGGAGTGGCGGTATCGGCCCCCCTTTTGCGGCGCCTCCGGCGCCGCCCCTGGCGCGCTGGGCGTGCTGGGGAGGTCCGGCGCGGATCCAAGAAAACTGCGCGGAGCGCCAAAAGTTTGTGTGTTTTTGTTTAGCCTCTTTTTCTTTCTCTGCTGTCCTCCTCCTCCTCCCGATCCTCGAAGATCACCGAGCGCGTATCTCTACTCGTAAAGCGCCCACTCGCGTGAAATGGATCGCAGAATCCCCTCGGCGGATCCAGGCCATTAGCGAGTATTCACTGTGCAAGCAGTGGAGCGCGCCTGTCCAGAGGAACACAAACCGGAGGAAGAATAGGTACCTATAAACCATACCTCGAGGCCTCCCCAATGGGGTCGAGGCAGATGGGGTCGGAGGATCGCGCCGCATCGCCGATGCATCGGCGATGCGGCTCGATGCGGAGCCCGATTTTCTCCATGCTGGTGGCGCCGATGCGCCGCCGACATCGCCGATGTATCACGAGTGCATCGACGATGCGTCACCGATGCATCGGCGATTCGGCGCGATCCTCCGACCCCATGTACTCCGACCCCATCTAGGAGAGTACCGGTACCCTTCGCCCGTTTTCCCCTCGTTCGCCCTCTCGGGAGGCCCTCGTAGCCACCGTTGGATTCGCATCGAAATTCTAGCCAGAATGCACTCTGGGAGGTCTGGGAAGTGGCGGTATGGGTACATTTTGGATTCCCCAGTTCTCGTCATCCTTGTCCTCGGAGAACAAATAAACGGCGCAACCATCCAGTCATCTTTGACAGTGAGCCTGAGCGACTTTCCGAGGTGTTTACCTTGCATCTTTTTCCTTCGGCCCATCCTTTGCCGCTTTCGTTGGCCGCGCCCCGCTCAGAAGTGTCGACATGGCCTTCCAATCGGCGGCGAGCGGCTCGGAAGGCTCGGAAGTCTCCTGACCTTCTGAGAAGTGTACTAAGCTTCCCCCGAAGCCACAGAGAAACCTCTCAGAGGGCGCGAGCGCTTCTGAGAAGCCCCGCCGCCTTCTGAGAAGGCCTTCTCCCTCTCACGCCCCCCCCTCTCGGGTGTAACCAGGACCCAGGTAAGGGGACCTGGTTAGTAGTAGGGTCCCAGAGCCCCTAAATTGACCAGAAACACTAAACCAGGTCTGCCGTAGCTCGTGTTTTTTTCGGGTGACGGCGGTTACGGTTAGTGGAACGGGGCGGGGGGGGGCGTCCCCCAGTACGCATCATTCGACCAGGTTTCACGGAACCCAGTCCTGCCGACGCCCGACCCTCGGTCGCCGCCGACTTCCGGGGGCCCGCTGGCATCTTCTTCTCGTGCGCCCCTGCTGCCAGTGCTGACCGCAGACTCTCGCGCGGGCTTCCTCGGGGGGTCGGCGGCGCCGCGCCCGGGGGCGCGCTGCGCGTCCGCGCTGGCATGGGGGGGGGGCGGGGCCGGCGCCGATCCAAGGAAGCCACGCCGAGCTCCAAACGATTGTGGTCGTGCCGCTTGTGGTCTGCCAGGGGCAACTTACCTGCGCGCCGAGGCCCCGTCTGCGGCGCACGGTGACCCAGACACGTCGCCGACGCTGCTGCAGGTTCCTGCAGCATGGCGCGAGGCTGTGGCCCGACGTTGGGCAGTGCAGCAGTGTTGTTTTTTGATTTCCGCGGCCCTCCCCGTCCTTCTCCCTCCCCGTCCTTCTCCCTCCTCGCCCGCCTTCCCCCTTTCTCACAAACTGCGCAGCTAACCCTTCGCATCTCGTTGGGAACAAAGGCTACAACGACGATTTCCCGAGGTACTGTGCCACCATGTGTTTTTCTTTGCATGCTAGCACGCCAGCGATACTAGTATATAGTTGCCCTAGTTGAGGAGGAAACATCATTAGACGCTAGTTGCCCTAGTGGAGCTGGGAACATCGTGAGGAGCGATGCTAGTAGATAGTTGCCCTAGTTGTCTAGTTTCACGCTAGCGATACTAGTAGTTCATTGCATGTTGTTTCTGGAGATTGTTGCCCTTGTTGAGGTGAGAAGCCAGCCAGTTCCACCAGGGCTGCACATGAGCGACGCAGAAAAGCGTGTTCGATTGCGCTGACAATCGCGCTTAAGTTGCCCGCGTAAGGTCGCGTCTAGGCGCCCTCGTTTCTAATGTAGCGTGCCGCGCCAGCGGCCCGCGCAAGCCGCTGCGTGAGATCGCTATACCATCGTGAGCAAGACGCTTTGCTTCTCGTCGCTCACATGTTCACTGCGTGCCCATGCTCTGGCGGCTCGGCGCCGATATCCACGACGACATGTGCGGCATGGAACCCTACCTGGGCCCACAAAGGTCCAGGCGCCTCTCTGTTCGGCGCCCTCCCGACGCCGCCCCCCCCCCCCCCTCGCGATCCTGCCGAGGCTCCCGAGCCAAGCGGGCGCAGGGCGGCGCTCTCGTTGGCAGGCCCGCGCCGGCGCGCCCCATGAGGGATGGGTGTCGCTCTCTGGGGCAGCCATTGGGGGGGGCAGTGGGGAGGGGGGTGCCGCCATAGAGCTTGTTTTTTTTGGATTCAGGCAAGTTTACTTGCATGGCGTTCGCCCCCCCCCCCCCCCCCGCCCCTCTTCAAGCGAATACTAGCGTGCAAGTGCCTTGCGACTTGCGTGATTTCCGCACCCCCCCCCGGGCTTGCTTCAGGCTCAGCCCCCCCCCCCGTCCATGCAAGTAAACTTGCCAGAGTCTAAAACAAATAGGCCCATATGGCTTTGAAACACAAGATCCAGCTCGGGGTCGGAGGGCGCTCGGTGGTTTTCCTGGGGGGTCTGCCTGCGCTTATGTGGGCCCCGGAAGCGGCAGGGCCGTTTTTTCACCGTTTCCAGAAAAATGCTCCTTGAAAAGCAAAACGGCAAAAAAAACGGCGACCGGAAACGGCAAAAGATAGGCTCCAGGATTGGAACCGGAGCCGGAACCGGTGAAAAAACGGCGACGGAACCGGTAAAACAACGGTGTCGGAAACGGTAAAAAAAACGGCAAAACGGAACCGGTAACAAAAACGGCCCTGTCGTTTCCAGGGCCCACTAAGTGCCTGCGTTCCCTTGCAATTTTGCCAGGGGCCCCCCTCGGCGTTCCTTGGGGGGGAGGGGTCACGATCACAACGGTGCGCAACGACGAGGGACCGCCTCCAAAAAGGGGCTCGGTCGTTCCTTAGAATTGTATGGCTTGATCTTGAGAAACGGGGCTTCGTTCCTTATTTAGCGTTCCTTCTGGCAGTGACATGTCTGTAGTCGATGATCCTCTGGACATGTAGCCCAAGCGTCTGCTTAATTTCCCCGTTTGGCCCCGCCGATAGCGCGCAGCCTGTGTTGGTTCTCGTTTCTTCGGTGGGGAAGCACACAATGGCGCTGACACACTTTCGGAGGATGATCGAGATGGGCTTGGCGCCACGTGGGCGCCGTCAAATCTTATACTGTAGCTCCCGTTGCCAGCGCGTTCTGACCATACTGCTCGGGAACCGATTTATTACAATATGGCCACACTATGTATATATTCGGATCGGGCGCGCGCCTGCAAGGAGGACGCATAGTACTAGTATGTCCTGGTGCGTCCCATAGGCTCGGGGATTGCATCGAGCCCCAACCGCCCATTGATCGCCGATAGGGGTCTGGTAGCCCCACTGGAAGGTGCGAGTCCGCCATATGGGACCTATCGCCGATCCATCGGCGGCGCATCGTCGATTCGAGGCCGATGCTTCCCTCCCCCCGAGCCAGCCTTCCCCCCTGTCGTTGCCCCTCGCGCTCGCCGCTCGAACCTCGGGCCGAACGAAAGGGGGGGATAGGGAAAGGGGGGGGTTACGAAATCTGCTGCATGCAGCTGGTTTCGGCCCCGCCGCCGGGCCCATTCCTCGATACATGGGCGCCTCCCGGCGCCAGGGGGCGCCGGGAAAAGCAGCTACGCGAGCTGAGTCTCAGGCCCCCCCCTTTGCTATCCCCCCCTTCGCCCGACCCGAGAGTCGGATGCACTCCAGAGGGACCCCTTCGCCAGAGTGACCTTCTTGCTGCGGGCCCACAGAGGGTCGGCCCGGCACGGGCGTGCGCGCCTGGAGCTGACCGCCCCGCGGCCCCCGAGAGCCACGCACCCCCAAGGCCGCTCCTGCCCAGGGCCGCTGGCTGCGTGCAGGCGAAAATGAAGCACTGCACAAGCATGAACTGCATAACCATAAGCTGTATGAGCAAGCATGAGAGCAACAACCGCACAAACATAAACTTTCAGCGGTCCGCACGGACTCCTCGGATCTGCGTGGGACCCCCCCGGCGGCGCCCCCGGCGCCGATCCAAGATGGGCCCGGCGGCAGGCCGAAACCAGCAGCATGCAGCAGATTTCGTAATCCCTCCTTTCCCTATCCCCCCCCCTCTCGTCCAGCCCGAGCATCGGGCTTCCTGTGGCAGGCCTCCTGTGGTCGAGCCCCTGCCGCTCGGGTTCGACCACGGGCTCCTGCCGCACGGCTTCGAGCTCCTTGTGGTCGAGATCCCCCCCTTTCGCTCGGCCCGATCCGCGTGCCCCCCCCCCCCCCGCTCGGCTCAAGCCTTCATAGGCCCAATGGCTGCCCATCGCGGGCGGCACGGGGTGCTAGCAGCATACCGGGTGCTCACGGAATCCCCCAGACCCGGCACTTGGGCAGGGGAGGAGCGAGCTGTTTCGCGCAAGGGTGAAAAAACAGTCCAGCGCTCCGACCATTCTTGCTTACCCCCCCCCCCTCTCGTCCAGCCCGAGGCTCCCCGCCCCCGCGCTGCCCTTCTCCGAGGGCAGCGCCCGAGAGTGGCGCGCCCGTTCGGCACCCGCTCCTCGGACGCCGAGGGGAGATCCCGCGGCGGCCCCCGGCGCCTGCGGGGGCGGCCGCGGAGGCGTGCAGCCTGCGCGGCCGCCCCCCCTCGCTCGGCCCGCTCCGCGGTGCCCCCCCGCTGGCCGGCGGCGGCGGCGGCGGCGGCGGCTCCTCCTCCTCCTCCTCCTCCTCCTCCTCCTCCTCCTCCTCCTCCCTCCTCCTCCTCCCTCCTCCCTCCTCCCTCCTCCTCCCTCCTCCCCTCCTCCCTCCCCCCCCCCCCCCCCTCGTGTCGCTCGTGCGCCCCCCGGCAGGCCTCGCGCTGGCGGCCGGCGCGCCGAGCCCCTCGGAGGCCTCCAACGGCGGGGCGCTCTGGTCTCGGCCCTATAGAGGGCGACCCGCGGGCGCCTCTCGCGCGGCGCTGCGCTCCGCCCCCTCGCGGGCCCCGACATCCGACGATGTGCGTTTTTCAGTTCGATCCTCCTCCTCCTCCTCCTCCTCCTCCTCCTCCTCCTCCCCTCCTTCTCCTACTCCTCCTCCTGCTGCCCTCTATCCTCCTCCTCCCCCCTCCTCCCCCCTCCTCCTCCCCCCTCCTCCCCTTCCTCCTCCTCCACCGTCTCCCCCTCGCGGGCTGGAGTCGGGCGCGTCCCCCCTACCAGGGGGGGTGCTCGAAGAGAGATAAATCATACCCCAATTATGTTCCAAACAGGTAAGAACAATAATACAACATAGTCCCCAGGCTATGTTTGGACTATGTTTGGACTACCTGTGGAGTTTTTTTTTATTTTTCGTCGAAAATTATCATGTGGGGGGACAGGCACGACTTAACTCTACAGGGGGAGTGTTCGGAGATAATCAAAACATAGTTTGGAGACGTTTTCTTTTTTATATAAAGAAGAACAATACCATGTTTGAGTATGTTTGGTGTATGGTTTGGGGATCTTTGGTTTTTCGTCCAAGATCCTCCTGTAGGGGGGCATGCCCGACCCAACCCAAGGCAGGCCCTGGCAAAGGGCAAGGGGCCCGCGCGAGTACACTACAGGGGCCCAGGGGCACACAAGTAAATGGACACGGATCCCAGGATCCCCTGCATGTGTCCTTACATTTTCTGGGTTGTCGTCTTCCCCCCAAGTTCCCATATGTCCCTGGGAGTTGACGATGAGCTGTGTCTGTGTGTTGTTTCCCCTCCAAATGCATATCTTTCGCAGGTGCCCACATGCCTTGCCCACAGCAGGGATCCGCCTCCGATGCGATGATCCTTATTGTGCTGAGCCAAAGGGCTTTGAAGGCAGATGTCTCCTCCCCTCCCTCTCTCCCTCGCCCCTTTTCTCGGCTTTCCTCCTCCTACTAGTGTTGCTTCTGTTCGAAGAAGAATGCGCTATAAGCATAAACTTTCGGAACTCTGCGCGGATTTCGTGGATCTGCTGTCGGCCTCCCTAGCGGCGCCTCTGGCGCCGACCCTCCCGGCGCGGATCCGAGAAATCCGCGCGGACCTCAAACCGTCCATGTTTACGCCGGGTTTTGCCCTTTGCATCCCTGGCCCGGCGCGTCCAGAGCTGGCAGGATCCAGCGCGAGTGGAAGGTCCCAGCCAAAGTTCCCTTGCGTCCGCAAGAAGCGGCGCTCGAGGGTAGCAATGGGCTATCCTTTCCTGACCGCGGGCAGGCCGGCTCGCCAACTGTGGGGGCGCAGTGCCGTGTTCCCCCTTCCTCCTCTTGGCATCGCTCGGACGTGTGCATTCTTCCTTCGGCGAGGAGAAATTGACGTCCGAGCGATGGCCAATGTTCCCCCTTCCTCCTCCCCCTCCGAACAGGGCGGGCTGGGACAGCGGTCGGTGGTCTCCGGGGGGGGCCCGCGTCGCTCCGCTTGCAGGCCTGGCAGGGGTTTGGGGACCGACCTTGAGTTGCCGCTGTCTCGCGTCGCCCTGCTCCGAGTTCTTCTAAGCCTTCCCTCCTTCCCCCCTCCCAGGAGGTCTGGGGGCACGGGCGCACGCTTCCTGGGAAGTCCCTCGTGGCCTCGTGCGCGCTGTTCGGCACACAGGAAAAATTGTTGACGCTTCGCGTATCCCCACCAGCCCATCCAGAAACGATGCTCAGGGGAGTTGAGGTGATCAGGGAAGTCGGGGAGCATGCAGAATAACAAAGGGCGGGGGAAGCTGTCACAGACCCCGAGAGGGGGAGGATGGAAGAGGAGTCGTCGTCGTCGTCGTCGTCGTCGGAGGAGGAGGAGGAGGAGGAGGGGGAAGAGGAGGAGGAGGAGGAGGAGAGGAGGACGGAGAAGGAGGAAGAATCGGAGGAGGAGGAGGAGGAGGGGAAGGAGCTTCTTGGGGGTCTTTTGAGGGCCTCTTGGAGGGCTTTTTGGGCGCCTTGGGGCATCTTGGGCGCCTCTTGGGACCCTCTTGAGGCGCTCTGGGGAGCCTTCGGGGCGCTTTTGGGGCCATCTTGGAGGGAGTCGATCAAACAAGAGGGGGGGTTTAATTAGCGCCCCCCCTCGGAAGCCCCTAAAATCGCCTCTTGGACCCCTCTTGGAACGCTCTTGGAGTGCTCTTGGGCGCTCTTGGGGCCGTCTTGGGGCTCTTTTGGGGCTCTCTTGGGGCCCTCTTGGGCCATCTTGGAGCCATCTCCAGGCCTCGGATAGCCATCGGAAGCGAAAAGGCGAGAAAGCAAAAATCATTGATTTTCCTTAGGTTTTGGGACGATTTTGGCCTCTTCGGGGCCTCCTTGGGGAGCTGTTTGGCCACTTGGAGTTATCTTGGGGCCGTCTTTGGGCTTCTTGGAACCATCTTAGGAGCCATCGTGAGCGATCTTGCGCTATCTTGAGCCATCTTGGAGCTCATCTTGGGTTCTCTGAGGCGCTCTTGGAGCCGTCTTGGGCCATCTTGGACGCTCTAACTACCCGCGGCCCCCCCCGTCCAGGTCCAGGGGAGGGGGTAGGGGGAGGGGTAAACCCCTCCCCAAGGGGGAAGAGGGAGGGGTGGAAGAGGATCTGCTCTAGACCACCTACGCCCAGAGGGCTGGTGGGATTAACGACGAGGTGCCACATGTTGCGTGTCAACCGGGCCGTCTACAGTCGTGGATCGCCAGACACTCACCACCCACCAACACCCACCAACCCAACCCGAATGCCTCAATCCTGTTGCCATTTTGGCTCAAACCGCTGGGGCGCTTTTGAGTGGGCAGCCTCTGTCGAGGAGGCCATCCCAGATGTCGTGCCTGGGCGGACACTTCCTGTATTTTCCCTGCCGCCATGCCGCTCTCTCGTCTGAGGATCTGGCCGCCTTGGGCCACGTGGTCGGCACCCAGCTGCAACCGATGAGGACCAATTTGGCCGGCGGCATGGGTTAGGGCAAGGCCATGGGCGATAATTTTCGAAATCCAGATCGCCGAACCCAATCTAGAACAAGCGAATATGAAGGCGGAATTCGACCAGGCAGGAAACATATAGACTGGAGGTTGGCTGCGCACCAACGCCTGGCACTTCGACTCTCCCGTTGGATGATGGTCGATCAGATCCAGCCATTCCGACGCTCGTGAGTGTCGCCGATTTGGGCGCCAAGATGATCGCCGCGGAGAGCGCGATCGAGTCCAGCCCCGTCTCCTCGCGTACCCTCTATCGCTTTCGACATTTCCGGGTCCGTGGAGCTCTTCCGTCGGGGAGCCCAAGACTAAGAGGAGCCGCGGCTGGGAATGTGTTCCCAGTGCCGCCCTTGCAGGGCCGTCGAGCCCGCGAGGTGGGAACGGCCACGTGGGCGACAGGTCCAAGATACGGGTCAGAGGTTTCCCACGTATGTTGCTGTCGAGGTTGTTCCAGGCGCAGTTTGAACTGCTGCATGCTGCTGTTCCTGGGCTTCTAGTTGGAGCTCGCGCCCTGTGTCAGAGCTACAAACTATGCTACAATCTCAAGTTCGAACACGAGGGTGCCGCTCGTGCGTTTTCCGCGCGGGGCAAGGACACGGGCCCCAGTCTCAATTTTTTGTGGCGTGATCCGAAGACGTTGGGGGGGGGGCGTTCAGTTGCGACTCGGTTTTTGGCCAACCGGTGCACATCCGCGACAAATCATACGCCCTGGGCCAATTCTGGGAGTTCATGCGCGCTGCGTTGCTCCATGACCAGGCCTGGAAGGAGTCTTTTTTATTGAGTCGTGCAGCGTTAGCGAAGTGATCCATGACCTCGTAAGGCTCGCTCCCGGCGATGAGGTGGGCGGCGGTCGAGCGGCACTCACAGTTGCCATGCTTGAGGATGGCCCCCGATCGAGATGGCCAGTTCATTTTCCTAGCTGATCCAGAGCCAGTTGCGCTCCTAGCGCGGTTGATATTCACCGCGTGCAGCGCCGGAAAATCAAAGGGCAGTTCCCAGCATTTTGCCTGCGCTCTCGTCTGGGGCTTCTCGATCCACCTCTACGGCCTCGGCCCCGGCTCCCTCGGCGGATCCGACGCCTTCCTCTGCTTCGTCAACCCCGCCTTCTGTCTTTATGGACACTGGGGGCAGGACTGATGGGTCCTGCGAGAATGAAGGCGTCGGGCCTGCGCCTGGCATTCGCCGCAATGTGAAGCAGTTATCCCTGTCCTTTCCTCCTTGGTTTTCGTTTGACTTCCACACGCGGGCCCCACCTTGGCGCCCCCTCGGACATTTCGAGCTTTTCAGACTGGACTTAAACTGCTGCCCTCGGAAGTGCGCGCGTTTATCACGCCCGTCTGTGCGAGAGGCGTGCGCTCGCCGTTTCTCTGCGCGGCGCGCGGCCGTTCTATCGCGGGGAACTCGCGGGCCGATGGCCGACCGCGGCATTTCAGATCGCGGGTGCCCCAGTTCTGCCCATTCGCGTTCCTTTTGTTTTTATTGCCACGCATGGGGATTGCAAGTTGCGGTGCCCACGTTGACGTCAGCAGAGAGGGCCGGCGCGGCGTCTTTCCTCTGAGCGGCCCTGGTCGGGCCGTGTGTTTCGGGGGCACCCATCTCGATCCAGTGCCGGACGTCCTGGAGCTAGGTGCGTTTTGCGCAGGTTTGCTTGGTCCCTTGCCCAGCAGCGCCGCGCCCGCTGCATCGCCGGCGGCGCCTGGAATTTTGGCGATCAGGGTTGAATTCGTCGCCGTGTGGAGTGGGGCCCGGCGACGGGCGACGGCGCTGCGCTGCTCGGTCGTTTCGCCGCTTTCTGCACTCAGCACGTTGAGATAGAGCAGATTGAGGCGACGCAGCGCACAGCGCAGATCGTCGACGACGCCCCCCAGCGTCATTTCCGTGCTCGTCTCGACCTTCTGAATGCGAATGGGACGACCGATGAAGTTTTGGATTGGCACGCGCGCGCTGGAGTGAACGGACGTGCTCGCGATCTCGCGCGCCCGTTGGATCGCGCGCCTGCGCGCGTAGAGGCAGCCCGCAAT